GATATTTGGATAGATAGATGGATTGATGAATAGATGGATGGATGGATGGATGGATGGATGGATGGATGGATGGATGTTAGAATCCATCTATCCATTCATTCATCCATCCATCTATCCATCCATGCATCCATTGATTTATCTATCTATCCATCCATCTTCTTCTTTCTAAGCTATTTTCCCATAGGAGGGGTGAGAATTGTGACTGTTGTTTCTGCAGGGCTTTGTATTGGGCCTCCTCAGGTCTCAGGTTGCCAGCTCGCATGTCTTTGTCAGTGGTGTCCATCCATCTTTTTTTGGCCTTTGTCCACATGGTCATTGCCCTGCGATCTCCAAATGCAGTGCTATAGTATCCATCCACCTATCTGTCCATCCAAACATCCATTCATCTATCCATCCAACTATCCATCCATCCAAACATTTATCCATCCATCCATCTATCCAAACATCCATCTATCCATTCATCTATCTATCTATTCATCAACCCATCCATCTATCCATTTACCCATCCATCCAAATCCATCCATCTATCCATCCATCCATCTATCCATCCATCTATCCATCCATCTATCCATCCATCTATCTCCATCCATCTATCCATCCATCCATCTATCCATCCATCCATCCATCCATCCATCCATCCATCTATCCATCCATCTATCCATCCATCTATCCATCCATCCATCCATCCATCCATCCATCCATCCATCTATCCATCTATCCATCCATCCAAACATTCATCTATCCATCCATCCAAACATCTGTCCATCCATCTAGCCAAACATCCACCCATCTATCTATCCATCCATCCATCCAAACATCCATCTATCCATCGATCCAACCATCCAAACATCTATCCATCGATCCAAACATTCATCTACCCATCCATACAAACATCCATCCATCCATCTATCCAAACATCCATCCATCCATCCATCCATCCAAACATCTATCCATCCATCCAAACATCCATCCATCCAAACATCTATCCATCCATCAAAACATCCATCCAACTATCCATCCATCTATCCATCCAAATATCCACCCATCCATCTGTCCATCCATCCATCCAAACATTCCTCTATCCATCCATCCAAACATCATTCCATCTACCCATCCATCCATCCATCTTCTTCTTTCTAAGCTATTTTCCCATAGGAGGGGTGAGCATTGTGACTGTTGTTTCTGCAGGGCTTTGTGTTGGGTCTCCTCAGGTCTCAGGTTGGCAGCTCGCATGTCTTTATTGGTAGTGTCCATCCATCTTTTTTTGGCCTTTGTCCACATGGTCATCACCCTGTGATCTCCAAATGCAGTGCTATAGTATCGATTCATCTATCTGTCCATCCAGACATCCATTTATCCAAATATTCATCCACCTAGCCATCTACCCATCCATCTATCCATCAATCCACCCATCCATTCATCTAGATAGATGGCTAGATGGATGGATATTTTGATAGATGGATGGATTGATGAATAGATGGATAGATGGATATTTGGATAGATGGATGGATGGATAGACAGATGTTTGGATGGATGGATGTTTGGATCCATCCATCGATTTATCTATCCATCCTTCTTCTTCGTTATAAACTATTTTCCCATAGGAGGGGTGAGCATTGTGACTGTCGTTTCCACAGGGCTTTGTGTTGGGCCTTCTCGGGTCTCAGGTTGGCAGAGTACATGTCTTCATTGATGGTGTCCATCCATCTTTTCTTTGGCCTTTGTGCATGTGGTCGTCACCCTAAAATCTCCAAATGCAGTGCTGTAGTATCCATCCACCTATCTGTCCATCCATCCATCCAAACATCTATCCATCTATCCATCTATTCATCAATCCATCTGTCTATCCAAATATCCATCCATCTAGCCATTTAATTTACCCATCCATCTATCCATCAATCCACCCATCCATTCATCTAGATAGATGAATGGATGGGTGGATTGATGGATAGATGGATGAGTAGATGGCTAGATGGATGGATATTTGGATAGATGGATGGATTGATGGATAGATGTTTGGATAGATGGATGTTTGGATAGATGGATGGATTGGTGGATTGATAGATGTTTGGATGGATGGATGTTTAGATCCATCCATCCATCCATCCATTGATTTATCCATCCATCCATCTTCTCCTTTATAAGCTATTTTCCCATAGGAGGGGTGAGCATTGTGATTGTCGTTTCCACAGGGCTTTGTGTTGGGCCTTCTCAGGTCTCAGGTTGGCAGAGCACATGTCTTCATTGATGGTGTCCATCCATCTTTTCTTTGGCCTTTGTCCATGTGGTCGTTGCCCTAAAATCTCCAAATGCAGTGCTATAGTATCCATCCATCTATCCATCCAAACATCTATCTATCCATCCATCCAAACATCTATCCATCCATCCATCCATCCAAACATCTATCCATCCATCCAAACATTCATCTACCCATCCATACAAACATCCATCCATCCATCTATCCAAACATCCATCCATCCATCCAAACATCCATCCAACTATCCATCCATCCATCCATCCAAACATCCATCTATCCATCCGTCCATCCATCCAAACATCCATCTATCATCCATCTATCCATCCATCCAAACATCTATCCATCCATCCAAACATTCATCTACCCATCCATACAAACATCCATCCATCCATCTATCCAAACATCCATCCATCCATCCATCCATCCAAACATCTATCCATCCATCGAAACATCAATCCAACTATCCATCCATCTATCCATCCAAATATCCACCCATCCATCTGTCCATCCATCCATCCAAACATTCCTCTATCCATCCATCCAAACATCATTCCATCTACCCATCCATCTATCCATCCATCTTCTTAAGCTATTTTCCCAATGGAGAGGTGAGCATTGTGATTGTCGTTTCTGCAGGGTTTTTTGTTGGGCCTTCTCAGGTCCCAGGTTGACGGCAAGCATGTCTTTGTTGATGGTGTCGATCCATCTTCTCTTCGGCCTTTGTCCACATGGTCACCACCCTGCAATCTCCAAAGGCAGTGCTGTTTTTGCTTCTGATGTTGGTTCTCTTCTCATGACGTGGCTAGACTACCGTAGCCTTGCTACCTTCATTTTCTTGCTGATTGCTTTGATTTCTAGTCTTTGACAGATGGATGTCCTCATTTGGCACATGGTCAAGAAGTGTCCAGCCAAGTTTCCATCTCAGCATTTTCATTTCCATTGTGTTAAGGCCTTGTTCGTGTTTTTTTGTTGCTGGCTACCAACAACGGACTGCTGGGCGGACAACTGTCATGTTGATTTTAGCCTTGAGTTGTTCAGGCATTTTTGGGTCATCCAGAATGTCAGTCATTTTCCGCCATTTCAACCCGGCTGCATTTATTTGTGAGCGTACGTCTAGCATTGTGTCACCATCTATGAAGACCAAGTGACCCTAGGTATTTAAACTGGGCCGTCTTCTTGTCCATGGATTTGAAATGCTTTTTCGGTTTGAAGGCCACATTCCAGATACTTTGTTTGGGGTATGTTAAGTTGAAGCCAACCTTCCCTCTCTCTTTCTCTCCTTTCTTTCTCTTCCTTCCCTCTTTTTCTTTCCCTTCTTCTTTCTTCCTTCTCTACCTGTTTCTTTTCTGGCTTCCTTTGCTCTTTGGTTCCACCCTTCCTTGTCTCTTTCCTTCCTTCCCTCCCTCTTTCTCTCTTTCGTTCCTTCTCTCCTTCCCTCTTTCACTTTTTTATTTCTTTCTCTCCTTCCTTCCTTCTCTACCTCTTTCTTTCCTTCTTTCTCTCCTTCCCTTCTCTTTCCCTCTTTCTCTCCCTCTCTCTCCTTCATTCTCTACCCTTCTTTCTTTCCTTCTTTCTCCTTCCCTCCTCTTCCTTCCTTCCATCTTTCACTTTTTTTATTTCATTCTCTTCCTCCGTCTCTCCTTCCTTCCTTCTCTACTCTTCTGTCTTTCCTTCTTTATCTCCTTCCCTCCTTCTTTCCCTCCCTCTCCTTCCTTCCTTCTCTACCCTTCTTTCCTTCCTTCCTTCTCTCCTTCCCTCTTTCTCTTCCTCCTTCTCTCCTCCCTTCCTTCTCTACCCTTCTTTCTTTCCTTCTTTATCTCCTTCTCTCCTTCCTTCCTTCTCTGCTTTCTTTTCTTCCTTCTCTCTTCCTCTTTCTCTCCCTCTTCTCTCCTTCCTTCCTTCTCTACCCTTTTTTTTCCTTCCTCTCTCCTCCTCTTTCTTCCTCTCTCTCTTTCTCCTTTCTCCTTCCTTCCTTCTTCTTTCTTTCTTTCCTTTTCTCCTTCCTCCTTCTTTCTTTCTTCTTCCTCCTTCCTTATATTCATTATTATTATTATTAGCTGTCCCCTGCCATGTGTTGCTGTGACCCAGTCTGTGTATATGTGTTTTGTGTGTGTATATATGTGTATGTGTGTGTATTTGTGTATATGTGTATGTATGTGTGATTTGTGTGTATATGTGGTTTTGCATATGCGTTGTAATGTATTTTTTTGTTTTTTGGCTTTTTAAGTCCCTTCTGCTGTGTTTTTCAGTGTTTTATGAGTGATGGTCACTTGTTGGCCTGAGAGTTGTCTTGTGGCCAAATTTGGTGTCAATTCGTCCAGTTGTTTTTGAGTTCTGTTAATCCCACGAACGAACATTACATTTTTATTTATATAGATAAATTCAATAATAAATTTCAAAATAATTTTATATAAATTATATATATATATATAATGAATTCAATAATACATTTTAAAAAATAATTTTTTGCCGAGTCTATCATTCCATATCTGCAGCTGTTGTTGGAGGCCAAGTGCTATGTCATCTACATAGAGGAGCATCCAGAGATGCATAGTCTGCAAATCTGTCATAGCCGTTTCCATGCAGAGTATGAATAGCAATGGCGAGAGTGCTGCTCCCTGATGCACACCAACATTAAAAGTCGGGGGGGGGGGTGTTGAAATCCCTGCAGGGCAGCGGGCCATACTTGTTGTATTATTGTATGCTAGCTTTATCTGCTTCTTTCCCTCTCTACTTTAAATAGAGAGGTTGGAAATGCCGCGGAATGGACCTTGTTGTTTCCTTCTTGCTTCTGCCCACAACCCGGTTTCCTTTCCTTCCCACAGGTGTGGGCGCGATGACGTGGTCCCCCCTCGCGTGTGGAATCGTGTCGGGGAAATACGACGGTGGGATCCCGCCTTACTCGCGGGCGTCACTCAAAGTGAGTCTCGATTGGCCTGATTGGTGGGAGGGTTTCCTTAGGTTGGGGGCAGAGAGGGGTACGGTTACCTCTTGGAAGCCCTCCAATCGGTTGGGTTATGTCCTCTGTTGCAGGGTGGGACAACCATGTCACTACTTCAGTCCTTTTACAGGTTCCTTTTTATGTGTGACGATGTGGGGGGAAAATATTTTCTTTTTAATCTTTTACTTGCCTTGTACTGAAATAGTTTCCCTTAAAAATTGGCTTTCTTGTGAGCTTTTACTTTGAGGCTTTTTATCACAGGCTTGAGACACTCTTGTAGTAAACAAAGTAACAGAGTTTATTTATAGCTTCTGGTTCCAATGCTTATGGTTACATTTGTGTGTTCTTTTACAGTCTTGAAATCTTACATTCAATATCATTCACTTGGTTAACTTTTCCTATCAAACTTCAACTGTTTCAAATCATACACTTTTGACAGAACTATATTCTGCCTTAAACAACACTGGCACTTCTTTATTTTCCTTAACACTTGAGCTCCATTTTCCTAACTGCTTTTCTCTCAGAAGTTCCTAACTGTACATCACAAACAGGAATCCCTAATTGTATCTCACAAACATGAATCCCTAACTAACTGAATCTCCTGACTCTCTAACTGCCTTAACTCCGCCCCTTCCCCCAACTGCCATTCTGGCTCAGTGGCCTTTTCAAATCCTGGCCTACACTCATCGGCATACGACCAATTGGCTGCACGTATGCAAATTAATCTTATTTCTACTGTTGCTACCCTATTTGTGCCAATTCTGCCACCTTGCAACATAGAGCTATACATCAAAAATTTAACATAGGTCAACAAATTCACTACACAGGGCTACCAGTGGCTGAAAGACAAGATCCTGAGTGAGGAAGGCAGGCGGCAGCAAGCCAAGCTGAAAGAGTTGCAAGCCATCGCGGAGCGGCTGGGATGCACGCTGCCCCAGCTGGCCATTGGTGAGTACAGAGAGGGCGGCCGCCTTTTGTCTTTCCTCATTGCCACCGGATAACACTATGCAGCATGATATTAGGAGTGTTTCTCAACCTGGGGGTCGGGACCCCTGGGAGGTCACAAGGGGGTGTCCGAAGGGTTGCCAAAGACCATCAGAAAACACAGTATTTATTTTCAGTGGGTCATGGGGGTTCTCTGTGGGAAGTTTGGCCCAATTCTGTCGTTGTTGGGGTTCAGAATGCTCTTTCCTCCTCCCCCCCGAGGTGAGAAAAGCAAATAAATAAATAAATAAATAAATAAATAATTATAATAATATAATAATATAATTCTATATAACTATATAATAATATAAAGCGCTGTAGGATGTCCTGTGCAAACTCCTTTTTTTCATCATGTAATAGTCGCACCCCCTTTTTATTAACAGAAGTTAATAAAGACCATCAGAAAACACAGTATTTATTTTCTGTTGGTCATGGGGGTTCTCTGTAGGAAGTTCGGCCCAATTCTGTCGTTGTTGGGGTTCAGAATGCTCTTTTCTCACCCCCCCCCCCCCCCCCGAGATGAGAAAAGCAAATATATAAGTATATAATTAATAATAATAATATAATAATATCATTCAATATAACTATATAATAATATAAAGTGCTGTAGGACGTCCTGTGCAAACACCTTTTTTTCATCATGTAATAGTCTCACCCCCTTTTTTATTAGCAAAAGTTAATAAAGACCATCAGAAAACACAGTATTTATTTTCTGTTGGTCATGGGGGTTCTCTGTAGGAAGTTCGGCCCAATTCTGTCGTTGTTGGGGTTCAGAATGCTCTTTTCTCACCCCCCCCCCCCCCCGAGATGAGAAAAGCAAAGTAAGTAAATAAATAAATATATAAGTATATAATTAATAATAATATAATAATATAATTCAGTATAACTATATAATAATATAAAGTGCTGTAAGATGTCCTGTGCAAACACCTTTTTTTCATCATGTAATAGTCGCACCCCCTTTTTAATTAACAAAAGAGAGATTAAAAGTGTGACTATTACACTATGTAACAAAATTCGAAAAAAATGTGCTATAGCAGGATGTCTCTCCCACAGACAAAGCTTGGGCAGTTTAAGCAACTTTTTCCCGTGTATTTATTATAGAACCAATTAGGAAATGACATTTTATGTTATAATTTATGTTTTAATTACAATTGTTTAATAATATAATATAATTATTATAATACAATACAATTATAATATATATGATATATATAGTGTAATAGTCACACTTCTTTTTATCTCTCTTTTGTTAATTAAAAAAAGGGTGTGCGACTATTACATGATGAAAAAAAGGAGTTTGCACAGGACATCCTACAGCACTTTATATTATTATATAGTTATATTGAACTATATTATTATATTATTATTAATTATATCCTTATATATATAAAATAAATATAATATATATTTAAATATATAATTATGATCATATAATACAATTATAATATTTATTATAATAATGTGCACCATAATATAATAATATTTATAATAACACAATATAATCATATGTATTATAATAATATATATTTATTTACTTATTTTACTTTATATTTATGTAATCTATATATATGAAAATGTAATGTTCGTTTGTGGGATTAAAAGAACTCAAAAACCACTGGACGAATTGACACCAAATTTGGACACAAGACACCTAAAAACTCAATGTATGTCCTTCACTCAAAAAAAAAAAAAAACAAAACCAAAAAGCAGAAAGGACTTCTAAACTGCATGTCCACAAAAAGACTCATGGCCACACTCCCTCCTCCTCCTCACGGGGAAACAACCGGCTGTTAAAACCAGGCGCGTGTGCACGGCCAAACACACACACACACACAAGCGAGAGTGGAGTGGAGGTGGAGGCTTGCTGCATGGAGCCCCTTCTCTTCCCCTGCTATGCCAGTAGGGCGGTCTTCTCTGTCAGAAGGTCGACGGTGCTTGAGTGGAGGATCTTGCTTCTCCCTCACTCCCTTCCCTTCTTTCCTCCCTTTCTTTCCTTTCCTTCCTTCCTTCTCATTCCTTTCCTTCTTTCCCTCCTTCCCTTCCTTCCTGTCCCTCCTTCCTTTCCTTCCTTCCTCCCTTTCCTCCTTCTTTCCCTTTCTTCATTTCCTTCCCCTTCATTTCCATCCCTCCCTCCTTTCTTTCCCTCCTTCCTTCCTTCTTCCTCCCTTCCTGTTCCTCCTTCTCTCTTTTCCTTCCTTCCCTTCTTTCCCTCCCTTTCTTTTTCCTTCCTTCCTCTCCCTCCTTCCTTCCTTCTTCCTTTCCTTATTTCTATGTAAGATATAAATACAATATTAAATGGAAGGGACAGACAAGAAGTAACGGGAGAAAGAGGGAAAGAGGGAAGGAATGAAGGAGGGAAGGAAGGAAGGAAAAAGAAGGAAAGAAAGAAAGAAAGAGAAGCAAGAAAGGAGAGAAGGAAATAAAAAAGGGAAAGGAAAAAGAGAGGGAAGGGAGAGAAGGAACAAAAGATAGGGAAGGAAGGAAGGATGTAACCAAAGAGCAAAGAAAGGGAGGAAAGAAACAGGTAGAGATGGAAGAAAGAAGAGAAATAGGGAAAGAAAAGAAAGAAGGAAAGAGGGAAGGAAGGAGAGAAAGAGGGAGGGAAGGTTGGCCACAGCAACACGTGGCGGGTACAGCAAGTATGTTTATATAATAATAATATATAATTGTAATATAATGTGCTATAGCAGGATGTCACTCCCGCAGAGACAAAGTTTGGGCAGTTTAATCAACTTTTCCCATGTGTTTATTATAGATCCAATTAGGAAATTACATCTATCACCCCGGAACAAAAATTGTGTTATATTGTGTAATACGTTATAATTATAATGATTTAAATATATAATATTATTATTATAATATAATACAATTATAATATATATTATAATAATATGTACTATAACATTTATAAAAATTAAGTATAATAATATGTATCTATCTATCTATCTATCTATCTATATAAAATCCAAAAGGGCGTCCTTAGGGACCACAAAATGCGAAAACCCTCAGACGAAAACTCACCAAACTTGCCGTACGCATACCTCAAACCACAAGGTATGCACAACACTCATCACAATTCAAAACAACATTACAACAAACTCACAATCACAGAAACAAACAGAGCATGCGCAGAGGCAACCCGGCGCGAGCCGCCCGGCGCGCGCACAAGGCCGGACCACCACCCCTCCACGGAAGCCACGCCCCTCCCTTCACCGCCCCACCCCTACCCACCCATACGCCATCCTTCCCTGCTTCTCCTCCTCCGCCGGCCCACGCCCTCTCTGAGAAAGCCATGCCCCCACCCTCCGCCGTCCTGCCCCTACCCACCCATACACCATCCTTCCCTCCTCCCCCTCCTCCTCCTCCCCCGCCCACGCCCACTCCGAGACAGCCACCCCCCACCCTCCACCGCCCCACCCCTACCCGCCCATATGCCATCCTTCCCTCCTCCTCCTCCTCCTCCCCCACCCACGCCCCCTCCCAGACAGCCACACCCCCACCCTCCGCCGCCCCGCCCCTACCCGCCCATATGCCATCCTTCCCTCCTCCCCCTCCTCCTCCTCCTCCGCCGCCCACGCCCCCTCCACACACCCCCACCGCCGCCCCGCCCCTACCCACCCATACGCCATCCTTCCCTCCTCCCTCCTCCACTGCCCATGCCCCCTCCGAGAAAGCCACGCCCCCACCCTCCGCCGCACCGCACCTACCCGCCCATACGCCATCCTTCCCTCCTCCCCCTCCTCCTCCTCCCCCACCCACGCCCCCTCCAAGACAGCCACGCCCCCACCCTCCGCCACCCTGCCCATACCTGCCCATATGCCATCCTTCCCTCCTCCCCCTCCTCCTCCCGCCCTCGCCCCCTTCGAGAAAGCCACGCCCCCACCCTCCACTGCCCCGCCCCTACCCGCCCATACGCCATCCTTCCCTCCTCCCCCCTCCTCCTCCCCTGCCCACGCCCCCTCCGAGACAGCCACGCCCCCACCCCCGCCGCCCCCCCCCCCGCCATCCTTCCCTCCCCCCCCTCCTCCCCCGCCCACGCCCCCTCCGAGACAGCCACGCCCCCACCCTCCACTGCCCTGCCCCTACCCGCCCATACGCCATCCTTCCCTCCTCCCACTCCTCCTCCTCCCCTGCCCACGCCCCCTCCGAGACAGCCACGCCCCCACCCTCCGCGCCCCGCCCCTACCCACCCATACGCCATCCTTCCCTCCTCCCCCTCCTCCTCCGCCGCCCACGCCCCCTCCGAGACAGCCACGCCCCCACCCTCCACTGCCCCGCCCCTACCCGCCCATACTCCATCCTTCCCTCCTCCCCTCCTCCTCCTCCCCCGCCCACGCCCCCTCCGAGACAGCCACGCCCCCTCCCTTCGCCACCCCGCCCCTTCCCGCACTGACGTGCCCCTCCTCCTCCACCGGTCACGCCCCTTCAGAGCGAAGGAAGGAAGGAAAGAGAAAGAGAGGGAAGAAAGGAGACAAAGAGGAAGGAAAAGAAAAAGGGAGAGGAAGGAAAGAGGTACAGAAGGAAGGAGGAGAGAAGGAAAGAAAAAAGGGAAGGGAGGAAAGACGCAGCAAAGGAAAAAGAGAAAGAAGGAGAGAAAGACGCAGGGGAGTTAATAAATAAGGAGAAGGAAGGATGAAAGCAAACAGCTAAGGAAGGAAGTAAACAGGTAGTGAAGGAAGAAAGGAAAGAAGAAAACGGAATGAAGGAAGGAGTGAAAGAAGCAGAGAAAGAGGGAGAGAAGGCTGGCCACAGCAACGCGTGGCGAGTAAAGCTAGTCTATATATATAATTGTAATATAACGTGCTATAGCAGGATGTTACTCCCGCAAAGACAATGTTTGTGCAGTTCCATAAACTTTTCCCATGTTTTTGTGATAGAACCAATTGGGAAATGACATTGATAACCTAGGAAGAAAAATCGTGTTACATGGTTTTATATGTAATGGATGACATTAATCGAAGTCATAGAACTGATGGATGCCAAATAATGTCAAACACTTTTTTGTTTCCTCCTGGCAGCCTGGTGTTTACGGAACGAAGGTGTCAGTTCGGTTCTGCTGGGAGCGTCCAACGCAGACCAGCTAATGGAAAACATCGGAGCAATACAGGTGAATCCCCTCCGAAAACATAAGACCACCCCCCACACACACACACACACAAACTCAATCATAGAGTCTCAACCAATTCTGCCAGAAAAACAAAGTTTCTGAAATATATAAACTACATATTTTTAATTTTAAAATTTCATCATGTAATAGTTGCACCTTTTATGTCAATCTAAAAGGGGGTGCGACTAATACATGATGAAAAAATCAAATGTTACGTAGTGTTGTAATTATGTTTTTGCAGTAGAGACACTGTGCAGCATATTATATTATATTTATTATATTACTAGCTGTACCCACCACGCTTTGCTGTGGTCAACCTTCCCTCCCTCTTTCTCTCCTTTTTTTCCTACCCTTCCTTCCCTCCCTCTTTCCTTCCTTCCTTCTTTTTCTTTCCCTTCTTCTTTCTTCTTTCTCTACCTGTTTCTTTTCTCGCTTCCTTTGCTCTTTGGTTCCATCCTTCCTTGTCTCTTCCCTTCCTTCCTTCCTTCCTTCCTTCCTTCCTTCCTTCCTTTCCTCTTTCTTTCATTCCTTCTCTCCTTCCTTCCCTTTTTCACTTTTTTAATTTCCTTCTCTCCTTCCTTCCTTCTCTACCTTTCCTTCTCTCCTTCCCTCCTTCTTTCCCTTTCCTTCTCTCCTTCCCTCCTTCTTTCCCTCTTTCTCTCCCTCCTCTACTTCCTTCCTTCTCTATTCTTCCTTCTCTCCTTCTTTCTCTCTCTCCCTCCTTCTCTACTTCCTTCTCTACCCTTCTTTCCTTCCTTCTCTCCTTCTTTCTCTTTTCTCCCTCCTTCTCTACTTACTTCCTTCTCTACCCTTCTTTCCTTCCTTCTCTCCTTCTTTCTCTTTTCTCCCTCCTTCTCTACTTACTTCCTTCTCTACCCTTCTTTCCTTCCTTCTCTCCTTCTTTCTCTTTTCTCCCTCCTTCTCTACTTACTTCCTTCTCTATCTGCTTCCCTCTCTTCTTTCCGTTCTCTCCCTCCTTCTCTACTTATTTCCTTCTCTACCCTTCTTTCTTTCCTTCCTTCTCTCCTTCCTTCCTTCTTTCTCTTTCTCTCCCTCCTTCCTTCTCTACCCTTTTTCTTTCCTTCTTTCTCTCCCCTCCCTCCTTCTTCCCCCTTTCTGTGTGTGTGTTTTGTGTGTGTGTGCTTGCGCGCATGCATTGTAATGTAATTTTTGTTTTTTTGGCTTTTTAAATCCCTTCTGCTGTGTTTTTCAGTGCTTTTATGTGTGAAAGACAGACGTTGTATTGTTAGGGGTCTTGTGTCCAAGTTTGGTGTCAATTTGTCCAGTGGTTTTGGAGTTACGTTAATCCCACAAACGAACATTAGCTTTTTATTTATATAGATTAGAACAGAATTATATTATTATTTGTTTTATTTATACCCTACTTTTCCTCTCCGCGAGGAGACCCACCCTCTCCAAAAGAGCCAAAATCCAACCGATTGTATCTCTCTCTCCCCCAACAGGTCCTCCCCAAACTTTCCTCTTCGATTATCCATGAGATCGATAGCATCTTGGGCAATAAACCCTACAGCAAAAAGGACTACCGATCCTAATTGGAGAACGAACCCCGCTTGCCTGGGACTTTTTCCTCGACTCCTCGCCTCTCCCGTTTGCTTGCTTAAAGCTACATCAAAGCCAAGCGAAGAGTTAACGGCCCTCGTCCAAGAATTAAATAACTTAAAACAGCGTGTCCTGGGGAAAGAAACCACGTCCCTCTTTGTTTTGCTCGTTTCCGAAGCATCAATGGACTACGTAGGCTTCTTAACATCTCTTTTTGGTTCTATTTTCGATTATTAAGAAATGCTGGAAAGTGTAGTCCGTTTCCGGCCAATCACTGCCTGTCTCGTTTTTTCTCCCTTTCTATCTATCTATTTTTGGTTCTTTTCTCCCGACCATGTTAGACGCAAAGGATGGCATTTCATTTTTCGTTCCCCCTTCCATATTGACGGGCCGGATCCGGCACACAATTCTTACTATTATTCTCGTTAAAATGAGTTAAATAATTACATTCATGCTCTCGACATCTGACTCGAGGAGCTCCGAAAGGTGCATTACAGTCACAGTTGCATGCAACGCACCCACCTACTCACTCAAAAATCCTCCCAAATCAAATCTCTGCGAGTGATAAACCTGAGGTCAAAATGGATCTCCAGTGCGACTTTTATGAGGGTCCGTAGCCTAAGAATGGTCAGCCAATGTGAGCCATTCTTTCCGTAACTTGGTTTTTAGAGAGAGAAAGGACAGTCATGTCTATAAATGTCTGAAAGGATGTTGGAAGGAAAAAGGTTGGACTAGATGGACTTTGGGAGTCCCTTCCAATTCTAGGATTCTATGACAGCTACAAGTTGGAAAGTTCCTTTTCTTTGGAAAGCAGAGTTTGAATTGGACGAGGTTGAAAATGCTTAGTGGAAGGAAGGGAAACGTGATACTCAGGTTGGAAAGGAATAGAAAGGCCGACAACACAAATGAGTAAGGGCTCGTTATCATGATTTAGGAAAACTAGTGTCAACAACAGTGGAAAACAGTTGTAGGAGAGCTAGCTGCAGATATTAAAAAAGGAAAAGGACTAAGCTAGCTTTTCTCAGGCAAAGAAGAGACAGAGAAAAAGCCTTTGACAATATAAACGGGAGAAAGCTGGAGTGATTCCCAAAGAATATTGGTCTAGAGCTCAGAGCCATTAGAATAAAACCTAAGGAGATTGTCTGTCTTCGACCATAACACTGCTGCTCTCGTTTAGTAAATACTGAGTGTCATTACATTTCCAACAAAGGCACCCTGTTTCCTTATTGACGGGCATTAAGGATAGAAGCCCCGTCTGGACCGGGCGCTTCTCCAGATTTTGTTTCGTAGTCTTTTCCCTTATTTCAACTTATGGTAACTGTCTGGGTAATTTTGTTGTCTTCCCTGTGCATTTTCGTTTCCGTTGCATCATAAACTTCATCCACATCTCGTCCAGGAAGTAGGAAGTGGCATCAAAGAGTGTAGGAAGTGGCCGTGGAAAAGCAATTTGCTCCCTCTGGCTGCTCGTTGCTGCAAATGCATGAACCGTGCCTTAGTGAAATGCAGAATGAATTGAGGAAAATTATAACCAGTGTCTTTCCCGTCTTCAAATTGTTCCATATGTTAAAAAGTCCAGTTTTTCCGCTCCTCTCCTTCTTTAGTTTACTCCAAATTCTGGTTCCTGGGACGAAGGAAAATGACAATTAAGAGCAAGTGCCTGCTTTTGGATATAATTTAGAGATTAGGGAACATATTGAAGAACATACTCAACTGTCATGAGAGGGTTGAAAGTTGTAAGATGCATTAAATCCGTAATTACAACGCGCGTTACAAAGACTGCGCACAGTGCCCCATCCAAACAAATGAAAACATCCAGTAGTCAGTTTTCGTAAGAAAGTACATAACTCATAAGTCACAGTGAGTCAGCTTAGTCTTTGGGAAAAACTAGAAATTCCCTTAAAAAATGGTGAATATGTGAATAATTCGAAAACTTGGGGGAAATGATGTCCTGGTTGTGTTGTGTAATTTTAGAAAAATTCACGGGGAAAGCTCATGATTTTTTAAATGTTCGTAAAAACTTCAAAAATATCCTTAAAATCAGTAGATGAGCAAAATGTTCTGAAACTTGGGGGGCTTAAAGTGGTAAATATATGCAAAAGTAGTAGCAAGTTTCATCCTGATAGCCCTAAAACTGAGGGAGGGAGGGAGGGAGGAACTCCGTTATTGTCCCCATTGTCGAGAATGGAAAACGAGTTTTTAGACTTCAGTAACAGATCCGACACGGACCCCTTATGATTTTTTGAAAGAATCAAAATGGAGGTTGCACGAATTTGGTTAAGACAAACCATATTTGAGCTGTGCACACCCCTACTAATCAGCTCTCCTTTTGGATACCTTTGCCAACACTGTTGGTTGGTGGGTGGAACATAGGTCTTGTAGTCCAACGTATCCAAAATGGAGACATATAACAGCATGCTATACCTGCAGTAGAAGAGTATGGCTTGGGAAATCAACCCTTCTTTGGATGATAGCAGTCCAAATGAGCAATTCCACAAATACAGTGTTCCCTCACTACTTCATGGTTCGCTTATTGCTGGCGATGTTTTGCGGGGAGCAGCGAGGGAACACTATATAGAGGGAACACGGTATTTTCAATGTAGAGGCTGCTCACCTCTCCTCCTCCTCGACACTTCCGTTGCTCCCTGCTCCTTCCTTGCCAGGCTGGGCGCCCAAGGTGGGGAACAGCATAGGTGAGGAGGAGGAGGTTGCCATTGAAGAAGGCCTCGGTGGCGGCCCCCTCTTCGCCGCCTCCGTTGCTCCCTACTCCTTGCTCACCAGGCTGAGCGCCCAAGGGGCCTCCGAGGTGGGGAGCATGGAGGCAAGGAGGAGGAGGTCACCACCAGAGAAGGCCTCAGTGGCAGCCCCCTCTTCGCTGCCTCCGTTGCTCCCCACTCCCTGCTCACCAGGCTGTGCGCCCAAGGGGCCTCCGAGGTGGGGAGCAGCGGAGGCAAGGAGAAGGAGGTTGCCACCAGAGAGGGCTTCGGTGGTAGCCCCCTCTTTGCTGCCTCTGCTGCTCCCCACTCCTTGCTCACCAGCCTGGGCACCCAAGGGGCCTCCGAGGTGGGAAGCAGCGGAGGCGGTGTGAAGGAGGAGGCTGCCGCGAAGTAGGAACACTCCACTCGAGTGGGCGGAGCGTCCCTACTTCGCAGATTTTCACTTATCGTGCGTGGTTCTGGAATGGAACACCTGCGATAAGTGAGGGAACACTATACAACCTGAGTTAAACACTTTGCCTTACTTGAACTTAATACTTTGAAGCAAACATTTGTTTTGGAAGCATGCCTGAAATTGAATATGAAATGGCTTCCGTATGCCTTTGTTGATCTACAAAGTGAGGTTGAAAGACTCTAGAAGAGCCAAAGGTCTTCTCCCAGAAAGTCCGAGGGCGTTGCATTATTTTCCTCCCATTTTTGCATGTGATGGAATAGCTTTGCCAGTTTTCCATCCTTTGAGCAACCTGTGAGGCTCAGTCGCCTGGTGGTTACACCGCCGGCAAAAAAGAGAACTCGTATCCTTTATCCCGAGAAGGGATGTTTCATTCGCATGCGCTTAGTAAACAATTCTTGTCTGTATCCAGACAATTATGGGAGGAAAACCCATTTTGAAAACATTAGTACAAAAGAGGGAGCGAAAGAAAGAGGAACCCCAAAGAAAGAGGTGAAGTCGATTTGTAGTATTGTGGGGCAGAGATAGTAGAGTCGAAAGAAAATGCTAGCAATCCCTTTGCATTTGCCTTGTAATTGGAGCAACGATGCATTTAAGAAATGTGCACTGCATTCATTGCTTGACCGAACCGGGGAAGTGCCGTCTATGTGGAGGTCTGCTTCCAATGCATTAAGCCATAGATTTGCAATTTCAGTTTATTGTGGCTTTCCGATAATACCTGTGAATGGACCCAACCTGGTCCTTGTTTCTGTGTCGAGCTTTTAGAAACTGTATTTGGAGTTCCTCCTAGTCTTGTTACTGCGGTGCCTCCCTTTTGTCCAATTCCAGTTGTAAACGTGTGTCATGTCAAGTGAATAAAGGCACATCCCTCCCCCCCCCCGGTTTGTTTCCATTTCCATGTCAACACATGCTCCCCGTTACACATGCACTTCCAGGGAGTGTCCTCAAAACAATCTTCCCATGCGGAAATTTGGAAGTCTTACTCAATCCCAATGGCATAAACACAACACTGTATTAGCCCATAAATGTGGGTCCCTGTCACCCAATTTAGTCCATGATTAAATTTCCGAGCTTTCTATTTCCAAGCCCCAGGGACTCCCAAAAACCACCCAATCCTTTTAAAAATTATTTTTGCATCCTTTTCCATGCATTTTTTGTGTGTGGAAGAAGCATACAAATAGAGTTTGGCGTCTCCAACTCTTCCCCCAAATTTATCTTCCCAAAACGCAAAAAAAGAGGCTTGAAAATTGGCCTAAAAATGGCAACTGGTAGTGACATCAATTCCAGGAAATGGGAATGCAAAGGAGGGGGGGACATACATGGGGCGTAATTCTGACCTCTGTCCCACCTCCGAATTTTCTTCCTTGTTGATTTTCCTGCTCACATTCGTAATAGAAATTACTCGTTATGATCCATGCAAATGATATTCTTGACCTCTTGCGACGGATGCTATTAACGGCAGAATGCAGTAAAAAGGCATTTTGGGGGAATGCAAAATCCTTTCAAATTATCGTAAGAATCGTTTCTAGCATTTCAGGGCAAAGGAAAACATTTTTTATTATTTTCCCGCTTGGGGGCATTAAAGAGCACAAGGCAAAATGGATGCTTAGCGGCGTGGGTCGCCGACCGCATCAACAGCACATATCGTAGCGCAAGTACTGTATATTCACATGTGTCCACGTGTTTTCTTTTTTTTAAAATTAATGAACATCGTCATCGTCATGACTCTTATTTATCCCTGCGAAAAACCTTCCCAATCTCTGCAATGTAAGCCATTTGTGACAACGACATTCAGGGAACCCTAGAAATCCTTGTTGATGCCAGAGGAATCTGTGAATCTGCTCTTGTTTAATCTTCTGGTCTCTGTTGTTATTGTTGGATTCTATGTATGTAAATTGGAAAAAAAAGCTCCCCCTTTTTTTAAAAAAGCGATATGTATATATATATGTATATATATATAT